CTCTCTCTCTCTCTCTCTCTCTCTCTCTCTCTCTCTCTCTCTCTCTCTCTCTCCTTCTACTATAAGGTGAATGGCCACCCTCCCTTGTCACCTGCTCCCATCATCTGACCAGAGGCCACAGCAATGGAGCCAGCTGACTTGGATTAAAACCTCTGAAACTATGGGCCCCAGTCGATGCTCCCTGCTTGTCTGGTATTTGGTCACAGTGATGAAAAGGCAAAACATGTCTACAGCCCAGCAGTGTGAGGTTGCTGCTCCTCAACACCCCAGACCTACTGAGTCAGACTCTGCATGTCAGTAGGACCCCTGGATGATTCATGAGCACTCTGCTGTTTAAGCAGCTGTGCCCTGGACTGAGTCAGGTGCTGGAAGGACAGCCACAGACCGCGATGGGTGCTGCTGTGCTTCCTACCCGCTGCTCACGATTAGGGAAACAAGAGCGATGCTTCATGGTGGGCGGTAAGGAGCAGCCACGTGGTGCCTGCCTGAGGAGAGGCAGGGAGGTGGGGCAACTACAGCAAGCCTCTGAGGACCATCCCTCCCGACAGCCCCTGCTTCCTGCTTGGAGTCTCCTGAGAGCCCAGACAGGAAGGGGCTGCAGCTTAAGAGTGACAAAGACCCACCAGGCAAGGCCGTGAGCGGCACTTCTCCCCCAAGAGCGATGCTTCATGGTGGGCGGTAAGGAGCAGCCACGTGGTGCCTGCCTGAGGAGAGGCAGGGATGTGGGGCAACTACAGCAAACCTCTGAGGACCATCCGTCCCGACAGCCCCTCCTGCCTCCTGCTTGGAGTCTCCTGAGAGCCCAGACAGGAAGGGGCTGCAGCTTAAGAGTGACAAAGACCCACCAGGCAAGGCCGTGAGTGGCACTTCTCCCCTAACCGTGGACCTCATTCAAGGGAGCTGTCCACTGAACTGCTCTGCCCGCCTGGCAGATACTTCAAAGCAGCCATGATTTTCCCTCATCAAGTTTTTTGGGTTTTGTTTTTGTTTTTTCAGGCCCCTATTCTTCCTTTACCCTCCTGCCTCCCACCTGGACTGTTAACTATTAACCCCTTTTGGAAAACAACACCTCCTTCCTCTTCTGTCTAGATACTGCCTCATGTAGGTCCCCATGCTGCAGGCACAGAACCAGTCGATTCTGCACATCGCTGCGGCTCCAGGAATAAGGCCCTGGTGCAGACGCCACCCAATGCAAAGAGCAGCAACGCTGTCCCTGCCTTGCTCTGGGCCGTGTGCAGCTGTGAACACACCCTCACATTCTCACTGACCTTCACTGACCAACACCCCAGCCCTTTCACCCAAAGCTCTATGAACACAAACCTTTCCTGTGTGTTCCCACGCAGGAATGTTAAAACAAAAGCCTTTGCTTACATGCTAGGCTGCATTTGAATAACTCCTCAAGGACCAGACTGGAGTAGCGGGCTCACCCAGTTTACCATGAACTAAAGGTCAATTTCATGGGACCATCTGAATTTCATGGTATGGTTGGAAATTAAATTTGAGAACAATAATTCCAAATAGTATAGGTTGATCAAGGTCATGCAAGTCATTATTTTATCAATTTTCCCAAACTTAATGCCAACGTATCCATTCTGAAATTTTTACACACACACACACACAAACACACACACACACACACACGCGCAGGCACACGCTGGCTCGTCTTCATCATCAGCTTGACTTGATTTAGAATCACCATGGAACAGCTTTGGGTGTGTCTGTGAGGATGTTTTCAGAGAGCTATAACTGAGGGAAGACTCACTCTGAGTGTGAGCAGCACCATCCCGTGTGCTGGGGTCCTGGCCTGAATGACAAGGATCAGAAAGTCAGCTGAGCATCCAGTCCTCTCCACTTCATGACTGTGGACACATGAGAGGAGCTGCCACAAGTGCAGAGTCACTCTTGCTGCCCCAGATCCCCTGTAAGGTGAACCATCCCTCCATGTGTGCCCCAGCTTCCCTGCATGGGGGACCGTCCCTCCATGTGTGCCCCACCTTCTCTGTATGGGGGCCCGTCCCTCCATGTGTGCCCCAGCTTCCCTGCATGGGGGACCGTCCCTCCATGTGTGCCCCACCTTCTCTGTATGGGGGCCCGTCCCTCCATGTGTGCCCCAGCTTCCCTGCATGGGGGACCGTTCCTCCATGTGTGCCCCACCTTCTCTGTATGGGGGACCGTCCCTCCATGTGTGCCCCAGCTTCCCTGCATGGGGGACCGTTCCTCCATGTGTGCCCCACCTTCTCTGTATGGGGGCCCGTCCCT